ACTGACTCTGGAAGGTATTAGAAAGCAAATGGGATGTTTTTGCTTCTATTAGGAAATGTAAGCAGCAGATTGGAAAAACAGGGTAACAGTGATCAGGTTAGCTTGGTGAGTTCCCTAGCTGTAGTCATGGGTTGCATTTGTTGCACAGTGTTGGAAGATAAACACTGCTCTTTTGCTGGTGTCACTAAAGCCAGGCTTTTTGTTCATGAAAAGTGGATTACCACCATTTTTTTTTTTTTTTTTACTGAAAGCTGTTGAAATCTAGGTCATAATTTTACATCTGTGTTTCAGTCTAGTTTCAATTGTTAGAAATTCTTGCAAAATTTCTTTCAAGTCTCTTAGATATCTGCTGGATAAGGCTTCTTCAGTGTCTGCTACTTGTCCAACAGCAGCATTTTTCATTACATCCTAGGCATTTGTAAGTTCTCTCTGCTCTCAGAGCAATGCTGGATTAGAAAAGAATTCTCATTACTGTATTAGACTGTCTGTTGAAAAGAGGTTGTTGTGGTTTGTGCTGATAGCTGTAATGCTGTTTACAGTGAGCAATATCCTTGTTCATATCTGGGATTTGTATTCCAAGCTGGATTTCTAAGGTATCCCAGCTCTACCCACTCTGCTTTCATTGGAAAAGGGAAAGCACAAGAAATGTGATGCCACATACTATTCTATTGTCAGCTCTTCTTAGCAGTTTTAGACCATATCAGAGTAGAATGGCATTGTGATTTTTTTTCTTGTTTCATAAGGTTGTAAAGCCTTGAAGGTTTTTATTGGCTTCTGATGTCTGTGTCCTTCAACTGATATCTATTGAAGTCTGGCCAAAGTCTGACCTGTGAAAGGCTGTGATTTTTATTTCAGGATTAAAAAGGAGTTAGCAATGAATGAAAGTTCAAGACTTGATTTTTTTTTTTTCCTTGTCCTATAAAATTTCCATCATAAGTGGAGGGTAAACCATAACAGGAGGTCAGTGAATACTTTAAGATAGAACATGCATTGTGATATACATGAAGACATATAACATGGACTTGTTGTCTGCATAAGTTTTCCAAATCTGGATATTGACATTTGTAACCCTTATTTGTTAATATTGATTCCTGGTGGATGCTTTCAAATGGAAAGTAGTTTGATAATTTCTATTGCCAATTGTTTTGATTATTCTGTCAGTTTAGGCTGTGGTAGCCTGTTAATACATCTGAATTTCTTGTTAAAAATTTTTGTGATACTGTTTGGGATAAGATGTGTTGGTTGCAGATGATACTGTTAGTAGTGGTTAATGGAAAAGAAAAAGAACAAATGGTTAAGTCAAAATACTAAAGACTTCAAAGGCAGTGACTCAAAGATTTAAGTAAGAAGGTAGTAGTTTCTTAATGTGCTTCTTCCAGTGATGTTTCTGAGGATTATTCTTTTGAGAATTTGGCTGTACACTTATTCTGCTCTTAATTTCTTTGTGCTGTAAATTCTCAGAAGTGCCTTCCAAAACAGTTGACTAATTTTAATGATCATTCTCACTGTACTTAACATGTAGAGTGAGTAGTACAGCTCCAAAATAGAGGCAACTTTTGATATATTGAGTTTTTTAATTTCTTATATTTTTCCTTTGTCATTTTTGGCACTTGAGTAGCTTGAATACTATTCCAGTGTTCATATTTCTATTGATTCAAATGTATTTATCTGGAAAAACTGTTGCGAGGAAAAGGTTAAAAGCCAAAGACATTTTCAGGTTTGTTCCGCTCATATCTAATCTTCATGTAAATGAATGTCTGCATTTTCTTGCTGTGCATCAAATCTGATATGTCACCCAGTATGATTTCTGGCAGTTATAATTGACATTCTGTGAGTACAAGTACTTATAGCATGCAATTATAAATCTTCATTAGGTTACATTATTATAGAAGCTAATTTTTCTTTGTCATTCATTAAAGTTACTTTGTTAGAAAAACTTTTATGAGGCTGTCGGTATGGGATGCTAGGAAATGGCAAGAACATGCCTATTATGATATACTCCTTCAGAGCTGTTATATATTCGTTTGTAAAGCCAAAATTTGTTACTTAACTGTTTATATCATCCAATGAAGAAAGACAGCCTACTTTTGGAGCTAATGCTCTGTCTTCCACTCCTCTTTTTATTTATCAAGTGAGATGTGTGCTCATTCATATGTAATCACTTCTCTCGACCTGCTGGCCATGCTGCCAATGGCACGCCAGGATCTCATTGGCCTTGTTGGCCACCAAGGCACACTGCTGGCTCGTGGCCAACCTGTTGTCCACCAGGACACTGAGGTTCTTCTCTGCAGAGCAATTTTCCAGCAGATCATCCCTTCACCTGTTCTGATGTGCACGTGGTTATTCCTCCCCAGCTCTAGGACTCTCCTTGTCCTTCAGCAAGGACAAGGCGGAATGGTTTTAAACTGAGACAGGGGTGGCTTAGGTTAGATATTAGGAGGAAGTTTTTCACCCAGAGGGTGGTGATGCACTGGAACAGGTTGCCCAAGGAGGTTGTGGATGCTCCATCCCTGGAGGCATTCAAGGCCAGGCTCTGGACAGTCTGGTCTAGTGGTTAGCAACCCTGCACACAGCAGGGGGGGTTGAAGCTAGATTATCTTTGTGGTCCTTTTAACCCAGGCCATGCTATTCTGTGACCCTAAGTTGGCCTTGTTGAGCCACATCAACAAGGTTCCAGAAAGTTAGTTACAGCGATTGAAGTTTGGGAATTATTTAATGCATGTTTTTTATATCTTTGATGTTTAATTGCATTTGTATTTATAATTCTTATCTGGTTTGAACAGCATACTAAATATTGTAGTGAAAAGTGGAGGCTAGAGCCACAGATACATTTTTTTTTTTGTCATATCACATCCATCTCATTAATGGCTATTCTGTTTTAAGTTACTATTTTATTCACAGGCTTACTCTTTGGATACTTTGTCTTTTCTTGTTGATTGGCATAACTAATGTTTTTATTGCTAAAATAACCATTTACTGCAAGGTGAGAAATTTACTTTCCAGGTGAACTTACAGTTTCATAAGCCCTTTCTGTCATTTTTCTAGATTTTAAACGGAAGTAAAATTTATGAAAGGTAGACGTATGTATTTTTTTATCCTCAATGGGAAAAGTAATTCTGTAGTTTTCTCCCTTTTTCTCAGCATGCTGCAAGTCCTCTTTGATTCTGCCTTTTTATTTAATAGTAAAACTGCCAAGGATAAAAAGGAAATTAAATTACAAACATTGCTTCTATCCTTTTTGTGGTACGTGTTTGCATGTAGAAATGTTTTGCATTGTGAGTGTATTAAGCAGAAATGTTTCTGCTGAGCGATTAGTTTCGTGTTGCAGCTTCTGTGTCTCCCCTTCATAACAGTTACAGTTGCTATTATATGAGAGTCCAACAGTGCTCAGTGGAAAACAGGAATTTTCAGTTACTGAAGCAGCAAATGAAAACTTCCTTCCTCCCCTCTCCTTCCTCCCCTTGGTTAGGCAGTAATGCTTGAAGGAATCTCTCCCATATTTTGGATATTTTCCTTATCATCACAGAGGCTGTACATAGCTATTTCATTATTCAGTGTTCTGAGGATAATATGCCTATCTATTTTATTTTACATAATTGACTCTGTAGAACATATTAAAAGAAAAGTCAGATTTGAAAATGAATAGTTAATTCCAAAGAACAGTGTTTTGCTGTTGGCTTAATGGTCTCAGAGTAAAGAACTAAATGCTCTGCAAATTATGAGTTTTGTTTGATACAGGCTATGCCTAAATTGGACCACTGACTAATCTTACTGGTTCTACTGATTTTGGTTTTTATTAGATATTTTAAAGAAAATTAACACTGCTAGAATTAAAGATGATTAAATGGTTGTTTTTTTAAACTTTACTCTCCATCTCAGTGGAGACTTTTGACTAGCTCTAGTTGAAAAACACAGGAGAATTTTGGTTGTTATTGTTTTGTATTTTACATTTTTAAAAAATGCTGTTTATGGTTAGAATGTATTTTTTAAAAGCTTTAGAAATGTAAGTTTCTTTTGACAGAATTTCAAAGACTTCTGCTCCTAAAGTTTGTCTTGTCCATCTATTCTGCTTCACTTACTTGTGTGCTTCCTGCATTTAGGCTTGGATTATTGTAGACAAAGAAGTTGAATGATACTTTGCCCCTTATGTGAACTTATGCTTTGATACTACTGTAGTGTCTTTTGTTTGACTGTGGCTATTAATGTACTTTGGCATCACCATTTTGCCAAACTAATTGTCTCATGTCAGTACAAATTGTGGTTTTTTTGTTTTTTTTTAAAGTTACAGTGCTGTTTTTAGGCTTAATCTCTAATTTTGCATCTGTTTTTATTATTTCCCCCTAACTTTGTTAGTGCTCAGTCCTGTGACAGATAAGCTGAGGATGTGATGTCTGGCCCATAAGAAAAGGGACTATTTACAGTATACATGTGCACTAAGTTCTCATCTGCACAAGGGACACTGAAGGAAACTGAAGCCATGGACCTAGGCTGTGGCTTTTATAGAATACAATGAGCTGCGCAGACAAGTTAGCTTAAAAAGGATGGCCTAAAATGAAACTTAGCTGTGTGCCTGGATCAAGTCTGAGGTGCAGCTTAGAAATATATTATAATTACATAATATGCATGTGCGTAAATATATATTTAAATTGTATGTAATATAAATATTCCACACAGTGGCTTATCACGAGATTCTCACATCCAAGATTTTTGAGGCTTCCTGGCTCGGATGAGGGGGTTTGCCTGGCTGGCATGGCTGAGGTGGCATGGCAGTCGTTCTCTAGGCCTTGCCTTCCAAACACCAACGTTCTCCGTTTTGCAATGCTACACTTGCACGAAGAGCAGTTTTGTTATTCAGGCAGATGGAACAATATAAATTGCTGTTTATTTAATAAAATATTCTCTGTCTGGAAAATACAGGAATTTACAGATAACATAGCAGTAGAGTTATGGATATGCTTTATTGTAATATCTAACTATCTTGACAAACCTTTTTAGAGCTCTCCTATTTTAAAAAAAAGTTTTTTTTTTCTTTTAAGGCGGCAGTTGAAGATTAAGATAATTCTTGGTTTTCTAGAAACTGCTAGTTGAGATTTCCTTTCCAACAATACTTCTGAAGCACAGATAAAATGGCTTCCTGCCTGACAGTTTCCTGTATCCATGGCAACCTCATTTTAACTGCTTCTTACTTAGTTTCCTGAATGAACAGTTGCAAATCCAGGGGCAAAATGTGAGAGCTGTGTTACACAGCAGTATCACTTTTCCAAGCGTTTCGCAGATGGGTATTGTCAGCTGGTAACAGCCTAGCAAACTGCAAAACAATGAAAGAACAGAAATAATGAACTTCAGATTTGGGGTAAGGAGTTGTTTCTGCTTATTTTGAATGTAATTCAACTTTGTAAAAGGTAAAATTCAAGCTGTAAATGAAAGGAAACTTGTTGGCATTCCTACTTGAAAGCTATTGAAAAAGTTCCTTGTTATTTGTAACTACTTAAAGTAGTTAATAAACGGTATTGTGAATTCACTAGAAGTCATTATTTTGGCAGCTTTCATTCTATAACCAATTAAATATTTTTCCAGCTATTTTGGCTGTCTCATAGAATCTTATGATCATATTGTAGAATCATCTGCTATTTTGGCAGTGATTTGTTTCACTTTTCATTTATGTTGAATTTTTTTTCCCATATAGTTCAAACTCACGATAAACTTAAGTTTTACTTTGAAATTGCTTATTTGGCCTCACAAGATATATTTAAAATACCAGTCTTGAAAGTAAAACTTGTTTTTTTGTTTTTTTTTGTTGTTTTTTTTTAAAGAATCCTATATTTCAAATGAATAATGTTCATAAACTTTTTTTATCTCTACTAGCAAAGTCAGAAATGAGTGAGAAGGCCAAAGACAGGGATATGTGTGGACTACAAAGTTTTTCACCCTGCACAGGAGCATTCCTGCATCTCCTTAGTGGCTTACTTTTGTTGCTGCTCCAGAAGGAGGTTCTTGGCTGTCCAGCTGTTTGCCAGCTCTGCACAGGGAGGCAAGTTACCTGTCGTAACTTGGGTCTTTCAAGCATTCCTCGGAACTTCCCTAAAACTACAATTCTTGTATACTTCAGTGGGAATAATATATCACATGTCATTCCAAATGAATTAACAGGCCTTCAGAAACTTGCTGCACTTTACATGGATAATTCCAGTATTTCATATGTACACCCAAAAGCTTTTGTGGATCTTCCTAAACTTTGCTACTTGCATCTAAATAACAATAATATTAAACGCCTGGATCCAGGAATTTTTGAAGGTCTTTCCAGTCTTCATTATTTATACCTTCAGAATAATCAAATAGCTTTTGTTTCCCGAGGATTATTTAGTGATCTCCTTTCTGTTAGATATTTAACACTTCAAAGAAATCGTCTCAGTATCCTTGGAAGTGGAACTTTCTTAGGAATGAGAAATCTTCGAACACTTAACCTAGCCAATAATAAGATTTCACGGATATCATATGCAGCATTTTGTCATCTTGAAAATCTTGTATACTTGTTCCTTGAAGGTAACAACTTAACACTTGTGCCATCAAATGCCATCGGAAGGCTCAGAAATCTTGAAAGACTTTCCTTATCTCACAATCCTATTAGATCAATACAGCATTTTGCATTTAAAGGACTTAACAAGCTTAGATATCTGTCTTTAAAAAGTGTAAAGCTAAAACATATTGCTGTAAATGGATTTTTTGGATTAAGCAACCTGAATCAGTTAATCTTAAGTTATAACGATTTAGAAAATATAAATTCCAGCACTTTTACTTCTTTGAACAGTTTAAGGTATCTGCAGTTAGACCGAAATAAAATAACAAGTATTGGTGACAATGCCTTTGAAAAAATGGGGCAGTCACTTAAAATCCTCAATTTAGCTTTTAATAATATTACAGAATTGCAACCTAAAGTGCTTAAACCCTTAGTGTCTTTAACTCATCTACACATAAATTATAATCCATGGAACTGTAGCTGCAAAATGCTTGGGTTACTTAAGTGGCTGGCATCGTCTCCCATTTCTGTTAAAATTCTTTGTCAGAATCCTCTCAGCATGCGTGGCAGACCTTTGCATTACATCAAGTGGACTCTGTTTGCAAACTGCAGTAGCCTCACTGCCAGCCCAGAAGGAGCCTGGAATCTAGAATCTGCAGATACCCATCACAACCCTACCACTTTGCTGATGGCATGGCATAAGGGAAACAGGCGCAGTCCATTTGAGCAGTTTATTAAGGCAGATACGAAATACATTACTCTCTGGGAAGGAACTGCAGTTACATCTGCTAGCCCTTTACCTCACGGAGAAAACACTGCTGCTGAAACTCCTTCACAGGCACCTACAGTGCTATCAGTTTTACCAGTACAAATACCAGCACAGATTATACCTGTTACTGGAACCATAGAAGTAAAAAGTTTGTTTCCAACAGATGCTGCTCCTGTATCATTACAGACATCCGTACTTTGTACACAACAGGTTGAAAAGCTGAATCAGGCCTTTGATGTTTTGCTGTCCTTTTTCGTTCTGGCTTGTGCTGTGATCTTGTTCCTAACCTACAAAATCATTCACTTCAGACAGAAACTGAAAGTGCTGGAAAACTCAGGGGAGAAACGAATAGAATATTACGGTTTTTATCAACCTGGCAGATACAACATAAATGACACAGTGCAGTCTCTAACTGAGAATTCAGTGGGAGATTCAGAACTGGACCAAATTAGGCTGCTCAAGCGAACAGCATCTGAAAGTCAGGCACAGGTCATATTGTTTGAACATTCATCATTGTAATTTACCTCCGTTGATTTGATGTTAATTTTACTCCAATCTGGAATGTCAAGAAGTCAAGAATTTGATTTTCTAAAAAAAAAAAAAAAAAAACAGCTGATTAATAGAATTGTGAAAAATAGTGTAATTTGGATTTATTTGCTTTCTCAGTGTTCTGAAGTTCATTGATTTTTATTAAATGTCATTTAAAATGATATGGATTATCTATGTTCCTGTTGTAGGGTTCTTTGAACCTGTAGCGCAAGTATGTGTTCAGTGGAGAGAATGTTCATATAATTTATTTTGCAGTACTTATGGATATTAAGTTTCTGGAGTAATTACATAGCTAACTTGAAATTAAAGTTAACTAGATCATGAAGCCAAGAAAGCCGGGGAATGAAAAGAGAGCAATGCTTAATGTATTTATTGCGTACACAGTTTCCTGTTCTCAGTCTGTATAACGGCTGTATTAAAATGTGATTTTTAATAGTCTGTATTTGTATCATTTTATGGTCATAACTATTAGGAGTTAATATGGAAGCTAAATATGGGATTCAAAAATTGATAACGTTTGTAATATCTCTGATAACGGAAGTGGTTCATTATTGTCTGTAAAAAGATAACGTCATCTTTTGTTTGAGGGAGTCTTTGGCTAGATGAGGGGTATAAACTGGAGAAATCTATTGAGGATACTTAAGTATTTGTATATTTTGAAGTGTTAGATCAAAACATGTATTCTTAGAGAAGACTACATTCTAGGATTGTGCTTGAAATGATGGATATTATGCAAACCATGTAGTTTGCATTTGTTAAAACTTTTTCATTTTTATTTACAATATTGATGTGTGGGGATGCTGTAGGGTTTCTGGCTCCAGCCAGACTTCTGCCAGCGTAGCTAATGTGCATGGCCATGTTGTTGCACTCCCTGTCACCCCGTTTGTCTGTTTCCAGTGTGTTTCCAGGGATGACAAGATATTTTCTGCTGCCAGTACAAATGTAGACCTTGCCTGTACTATTACAGGTGTGAATGTGGAAGTCTATACTGTGTGCCTCTGTTGTTGCTTGCTATGTCTTTCTATTGGATATAACAAAATCTAAGTTTTGTTGAGATTTACTTTCATTGTGTTGTAGTGCTGTATTTTACTCTAATTTAATGTATAATAGGTGAACTATTTCTGTCTTATGGAACACTTAATTCTGCTCGTGGGGCAAAAGCTTAAACTGTTTTGAGTTTCGTGACTAGAAACTTTGTTTTATATATACCTTTATAGCCATAAATATTAAATGTAGTGTGGTTTTTTTGTTTGTTTGTTTTTTAAGGGGAGAAAATGTTAATTACTCTCAAATTCTTACTTAATTTTTTAACTCCGATACAGTGCTTTACTCCTTATCTAACCCCTTTTAATCCCTTCTACATAATTGGTTGTGGCAAGTTCATTGGGCATTTTTGTGTTTTGAGGTTGTTTTTGTTTTCATTTGGTAACAGCTGTACTGTGTGTAATTCTTCAGTAGTCAGTTTGGTAGTCTTAAGTTCTTTATCTGTTAGCTTTCAATTTTATATGGCTGTCTTCAGAAGTAATGGACTTTATTAGCACCTGAGTGATTCTAGTCAAAACTAATTAACTAGGTTTTCTTAACTAGTGATGCTGATATGCCCATGTGAGAGAAGATTTCATGGGGAGTGGGTAGAGGCTGAGGCAGAACAAACCCAATTCTCAAACCTGGGAGGCTGCATTCTCCTTAGCTGTTCTCAGCAGAAGACCACAGTTCCCTCTGAAAGTGTTTCCTTTTCACTGGCAAGCTTCTGTAGGAATCATCTTCCAGATGTGTGTTCTATCATTTCCAGTGATAGAGTCTAAATGAAATTGATACTGGCAGCATGATCTCTGTAAGTGTTGCTGGGACAGTCAAAGCCATCTTATGGAGAGGAGTCATCCTCCAATAACCAACTTGTAAAAAACTTCCAGCTTTGCTGTACAAAGAAATTGAGGGGTGTAACTGTGGGAAAGTGCAGTTTTTGTTTGGCACTTAGTAACTGCCAAGTTAAATGTTCACACTAGGAAACAGGAATATTGTGTCTTTGTGTGCTTCATATGTCTGTTTAAATCACTGGAGAATAGAGAATTCAGAAGTTTCAGTAGTGCCTGCCTACATGAAGCAAAGTGTCTATAGACTTCCACTTAGTCACAGTCCCTTATTAGATTCTCTTTGTGAAGCTCATTATCAAGTTTACGGTCAGCCATAGGATTCCCCTGGAAATGCTGTCTGAGATGTGTCGTTATCATTTTAGGAGCTCCATAGCACTGCACAGCGTCTGGAGGAGAAAAAAAATAAACATTTACATTGCTCATAGCATGTATAAAGTAAACTCAATTTGTCCCCTTCAATCTCTTTCCATTGCTAATGAAATAAGAATAAATAATTAATCTGTCTTGAATTAACACCAGTAAAGATATGAAGCTTGTCCCTTTTTCTAATTTTGCTGCTTCATCCTGGCAAAAGAGAAAATCTCTGCTTTTCTACTGCTTCCTTTTAATGTCTAGAAGAGAAAGGTATGTCTGCAAGTAGGTATGCTTGCCAATAAGAATGTTTTCTCCCTTTCTGATAGACCAAGAAAGATGTATAGGAGACAGGAAGACGACTTTATTTACATACTACTAGCAATTTGTTATCATTGCTCTTGTGATTACAAAAATAAGGTCTTAACTGCATCTTTGGAACTGGATCCTGGACTGGTTTAAATCCTAACTAGCAACTTCATACAAGCTGTAAACCTCTAATTCCAGTCCTGTCTCTTGATAATTCTTGATAGGTACCGAACTAGGTTTTGTCCTCATACTTAAAGGACCCTGGGGGAGTTACAAAATCAGTTATAACTTTTTGCTGTTACTTGTTATCCTGCTGACCTTGATTAGATGCAATTGAAAGGTGGAACTGCTTAAATGCTGCCTTCATCCTGAGCTGAGGTTTTTTGTATGGACAGTATTAACTGTTCGGTTTTGTAATGAAAGGTCAGCAAAATATGGTGTCCCTTTCTTTTCTGAAGCCACTCTTAAGAACAGCATGTTTCTTAAAACAACCAGTCTAATTTTAGACTTCTAAAAAGAGATTTCCTTGATTTGCAAGGCTCTTTCCCTTTCTTCCATGAAAATGACACCTAATATCTCATTGTGTTGCTGCTGAACTTTAGCCCAAGTTTTTTTTGGTTGTGGTTTTGTTTTTTTCAAATCACTGTAAACATATGCTGCCTTTATTTCCCCCCAGCATATGTCTTACATTCTAAAAATAGTTCTATTGTTTAATGATTTTGGACTTGATAAATGTTTCAGGGAGTGTCCGATAGGAAGAAACTGTGTCTCCTTTCAAGAGAAAAAGGAGAGGAAGGGAAAAAAGATGGTTTTATCTTCACTGAAAATTGCAGGTAGCTGTTAGGTTATTTTGAAAGGCCATCTGTATTCTGTGACACTGCTTTCCTCAGGAAAATTACCATTACATTTCTATTATTCACTTCAAAAGTAGTAAAATAACATCTCTATTTTATGCTATAAGATAATAGCATTTTCAAGTAAAGAAAACTCTGATTTTTCAGCATGCTTTGCAGTTAATTGTCAGGAGCTGTATTTGGAATTTTTAGCCGCCTTCTTCAGTTTCTTCTGAATATATCACAGATCACTGGATACACAAGTTAACTGAAAAGGGCTTCCCTCCCTTTGTGCTTTTCCTATTAGTCTGCAAGCCTGGCGTAGAGGAAAAAGAAAAAAAAAAAAAGAAGTTAATGAGCACAGTGCTTACTTTTTTATATTTTGGTTAATTAACATAACCCCCTTGTATAGATTGACCATAATTAGCACTTCCAGCAGAAGAAAAGGCTGTGCCTACTTTAGGTTAAACATTTTTCTCTCTTCTCTCCCCTCCAAGTAAAATTATGCAGTTCCTCTGGCAATTAGGCGTTCTTCATGTGGCTTGAAAGGAACAAATTCAGCTACCAGGTAGCTGATAGAACTATGCTATTAATTAAAATGCTGCATACTTACAGAGCGTAGCGTACTCCTCCGAGATGGAGTGTTCTTGGTTGAATTCCCCACATCCTCTTCAAAAGGAATGTGAGGACAGCTGTTTCCTTTCTTACAATGGAAAATACCAACCACGCTATTGGGGATTTTCCTAGATGTATGTTATTAAAGGAAAAAAAATGAAGTATGAGGAAAAACAGCTCTAATGAAGGTAGGTATGCTTTGTAGGAATCTAACTCAACTGAAGAAATTCTTAACTCTGAGGGCTTATTCTGCAGTCTGCTTAACAGGCAGTGCTCAATTTTTTTAGGTTGTTTGCTTTCTGCTTTGGATGAGGTAGGGAAGCTGTTTGGCAAGGGACAAAGTCTTTTCTAAAATGTAAGTGGCAACAATAAGAGGCCAGACTGAAGGAGAATTCCATCAGTTTTCATCCCTGAAAGTGCTGGAGTTTCAGCTTTCAGCATTCAAATATAGTTCTATTCCTGGCAATTGACCATAGCTGAATAAAATTTATGAAAAATTTTCACTTGAAAACAAAATGCTCATGAGCTGAATCATAATCTTATAAAAACAAAGTTTAAATAAATATTTTAATAGACTTAATGTTCAAAACTTGATAGGCTTTTTTTTTGCCAAGGCATCTGTTTTGCAATGTTACGTATTTAAGATTTTGAATGTCTGCAGCAACCGGCTCTGGGAAAAATGAACCCTGAAATTCTGAAATTGTGCTAATTGATATCATTAATTAATAGCAGGGACACATGAAAGAGTTATCATTTACCATCACTGATCATAGTTTTCCATTTATTTGCCAAAAGCTGAAAATGTTGTTCACTTGCAGAGTGCCTGAACCCTTATGTAGCTTACAGGAGTCTGTGCACTGATGGCCAAACCCAGAATAGCAGGGAATACATCAGAAGTGGTGGCAATCAAGAGCAACTTTCCCTTAACTAGAAGCTGCTGGTACCTGCTTTTTCATCTGGGAGTCTGGGAGGTCATGGTTTCATGCCTTCTCACACTACAGGCATATGAATTCGCAAGGCAGGGATGTGTGTCTAAAAGATTTAGGAAATTGGTGTCATTTGGGATGCTTGGAGTATTCAACCTGGCCTTCAGCTTCTGTTGGAGAAAGGAAGGTGCTCATCTTTATTTCCTTATTTTTTTTCAGTCCCTGGTGCTACCTACCAGCTTTTTTGGTCTGGTAATTCAAATGACAGGAGTTAGCTGTGCTTAAGTAGAGCAGAAATGTGCTTCTACCTTTCTAATTAAGAAAATTTGCTTTTGTAGGAGGAAATACCTTTCACCTCATTATGGAATGTCACTAACCTGTCCAGGAGGTTAAAGAAACGCTCATAAGGCTGAATAGAGAGTGCAAGACAGAATGTACTAGCTTTACATGCTGGTTTTTTTGCATCAGATAGTGATGTTAGAAAATATGCAAGTGTGTTAGAAGCAGAAGCAAGTACTCTGACCTTCCTAAATTTTCAACGACACATGGCACTTCATTCTAATAAAATGCTTCTCTCATGAGTTTGCTAACTTTGGGTCTCTTATGTAATAAAGAAAAAAGTTGGAATTAGCTGCTTGATAGCATGCTCAGCTAAGTGGTGAGCAAATAAAACGCTGCTTGGTAAACGTGCCTTACGGATACTGAACAAATTCCCTGTCCGGTTACTTTAGCTAAGACACTTTTCTTTCTTTTCCAGTGTTATCCAAGATAAATTTTGTGGTATCATCCACGTTACGTTGGAAGGTCTGTATGATGTTATGACTGAAGATCCTGAAACAGGAACTTACAAAGAGTAAGTGAAAAATGATTTTTGGGCTTTATAATACTAAGAGTTTAAGTATGTTTTGACAGCAAATATTCATAGGTGGTTGAGATGTGCTTATAGGAGTCTGTTCTTGTTTTTTTTGTTGATGTTATAGCAAGACTGGAAATTTTTCTTCCTAAAAAGTGTACTCTGGGAGGTTGGGGCAATGTAAAATGGAAATTAATTTTATATTTTGTATATTTATAATCTTATAACATACAAAAAGTCTGTTAAATGGTGGCTTAAAATATGAATATTCTTAGCTTTGCTTTGGTTCACTTGAGCCCAGAGTTTCTTTGAATGTGACATCTGGAGTTTAACAAAGATCATTCCCTAAATGTGTCATGTATGTTGAATGTACCCAATGTACTCAACTCTTTGTGGTGTGAAGTCACTTGAAAATCTGCTCCTTAGGCACAGTTTTTGCCAATCAGTGTTCCACCTACCATACTAGCCACTACAAAGCATATCTGAAAAGGCAATTTTCTGAACTGAGAGAAGGGCTTGTTTATGATGGCAAGACCTGGGACGCTCAGAGTGCACTGCCACCAGCTCTACTCTGGTGGAATAATAAGTGGAATTATAGAAAATCTGGAAAAGTCAAACCAAATGAAGGGTGTTTTAGGACAGAGATTTTAATGTTTTTTTTTTCTTTCTCTTATGATTATGTAGTTTTAGAATGAAGAACAGTAAGGCACAAATAACAACAGTAAATGCTCCGCAGGATATCCCTACAGACATAATATATTCTAATAACAGTATTTACTGTGTGCTAAAAATCAAACATTTTCTAATTTTCAGATAATTCCCTGGTGACAGAACAGATTATACTTGGAATAATTACTAAATGCTTAAGGGGATGATTTCTGGTCCACACTAATACAGTCCTCATGCATGCTTTAATTTCACCTCCCCTTGAAAGAAATGGGTTGCATGCAAGTGTCTGAATGGTTCATACACACTAAACCTGAACTATGCTCATGAATTTCTTGCAGAATGCTGGTTGACCCATGCTAGGCATTTTTCTCTATTTATCAGTGTAGAAGATTTAACTGCAAAGCCTGAGAATATGCTTCGATGCTGTGCTTTAATTATTATCAGAGTCAGTGCAGTAAAATCCCTTCTGCACGTGTTGCTTTCTATCAGAATTGGAAAGTAATAAAACTTTGTCACAGTAAATTTTGTATATTAAGCTTGAATACCAGTAGAACTTCTTATTATTCATTCCAACCTCTGGACACTGTTTGTTTGTTTGTTTGTTTTTTAACAAGATAGAGGCTCAGATAGAAGCTCACTGAAGTAGGGACATGTTTATGTGGGCGGATGCCATGTGTACATTGTACATGTACAAAAGGCTTTGGCATTTGTGTTAAAATTTTTGAAGTAATCTGAAAGTAAATAAAGTATGCAATTGGAGCAATGTGTGCTATTGTGTGTCTCCACATTGAAGAGTGTATTTAAGCTTGAACAGACACAGCAAGAAATTTGATTGTGTATCCCACTGATTATCATAACACTCAGCTACTTTAGGCGGAAGATTGAAAGAACATGCATGTTTAGCACAGGAAAATTAAGACTGAAACAATATAGAGCTGCAGTCTGTGAAAGATGCAATAATGGTAAGCACGCACAAGGAAAACTGTACAAATGAAATGATAGCAGTGGCTTGAGTATAAGCTGACCCCAAACACATTTACATTAGAAACTTAATGAAATTGTTGTATTGGTGCAGTGAGGCTGGTGGAAAAGCCTCTCCGAACACAGAGATGAAGATCTCACTGGGATCACACTTGGGATTTTGATCAAGATACAAAGATGATCTTAGTGTCCTGACTTAAACTAAGATGGGGTTTCTAGAAGTTCTAGTTATCATTACAGTGCCAATTGCAAGAAGGCTTTATGGACTTCAGGTTTTCTGGAAGGGGAACTTTCTGTTGTTTTAATGTTGTCTCAACAATACTAAATAAAAATGCATGTTTGTCAATGTCATAATCATGCACTTTTAAAAATTTTATTAGTTCGTTATTTAGTTCTTACAGTTATACTCTTTGTGTTTATGGCTTTTTTTCAGACCTCAGAGGCAATATTATTTTGGATATTTTGACATTTTTATATTTTTGTTTGTTCTTAATGCTGAGTTCAGAATCCCATACTATTTGAAGGAGAGAAGAGATGAGATTTGCTGTGTTTCTTTTTCTTAATATCTAATTCTTTTGCTTCTATGTTACCATTTGATTATTCTGCTATATTGTTTAGAAAGTGTTTCATACAGTTCTAAGCATATGTTAATGGAGAACTGTATATATATAAAAAGTTCAAGTCTTAACTTTTCATGAAGTCCCAACTTTTTTTTTCATTTTTTCATTTCGTTCTAGTAACAGTTATCCCTTAAAACAAAAACAAGTAATTTGACTATAGCTGCAGGAACTTTTCCCTGCTAATAGAATATATAGTACAGGAACGTAGGGCCAAGAGAGATTAATAATGTATGTGTGTAAATGTGGATTGTTTGTTCTTCCTGCCATGCAACTACCTAATACATGGTTGCAAATTACTGCCACTTGAATGGTTTTACATTCATTTTTAAAGTAGCAGAATATTGGTGGGAAGGTTCAACCTTTGGAACCCTGCAGAAATCATGGGCTGATGTGATTAAAGTAGGAGGCATTACTTTTGGAGCAGGCCTTGTGTTTACATACTTTCTATACTTGAGTCTTGAAGTTGTTGAAAAGATTTCTGAATTGATACACCCAGCCAAAAATGGCAAGTTTTTAATTCTCATTTTATTGTTGGAATATAAAATATGTAGTATATTGTAAAGCACTTGTATTTAAGGGCGTTTATTTGTTTGGGGAATTGTTGCGTGTCTGAAGGTAAGCTAAAATAATGTATATTATATTTAACACAACCTAACTACTTTTCTTCATTCTCCAGCGTGCAATCTCTTGCCCTGTTACTTGAATAAGAAAGCAAAATTCCACCCATTAACATTTTAATGTACACAACACTAAAAAAACATTGCTTGGGATATGAAAGTTATTCACTCTCCTATATTCAGGAAGTAGAAAATCAGTTTAATTAAGGGAGTGACACTTTAGAAATTGTTGTCACTGAGAGTTCTGCCAGAGCATCTCGCTTTTCTATCAAATATGGACATCTCAATTAAGTTGCAAAAAACATTAATGTTACTTAGACTCACTAACCATATGCATTCTCTTCCTGTGGTCAGCATCAGATACAAGAAAAAAAAATTGTTTATTTTTAGCATCTTTCTGGAAAACTGAAAACTAATATTTTTCTGTGCTGGTGAAGATATCCTCTTAGGAGATCATTGTGTTCTATGGTAAAAAGCAAGAGTACTTCTAGGTTTATTCAGTTGGACAGTGGTTTTTGAAAGCAACCCCAAAGCCTTTTTTCTTGCACTGCTGCAAACTAAAATATCAGACTGAGATTATCAGGTCAAAATTTCTGATGTTCAAACAACATTACAAACATTCACAAACAACAATCTGATTTCTCTAGATTTATTTGGAATTCTGATGACTGCTGCATTTCTGGTACATGGTTTTGCTGGAGAACCTTTTCAGCCTGCATCAGTCTCTGAAATTATAAGTGCACTAGGTTCCCCAGGGAGGTGGTTGAGTCACCCTGGATGTGTTTAAAAACCATTTGGATGTGGTACTCAGGGACATGATTTAGTGGAGGATTGTTAG